AGACAGATAGATGATAGATAGATAGATAGATAGATAGATAGATAGATAGATAGATAGATAGATAGATAGATAGATCAAATTAAAAAGCAGATGACAAACAGATGGATGGATGGATGGACAGTCAGAAGAAAAAAAAAACAGATGACTTTTTTAATAAAAAGTAAACACTATAGATTACAGACTGCTATATAAACAAAAAGAATATAAAATAAGACGTAGACAATGATACAGATGATATAGAGATAGCAAGACAGACAGATACATAGATTAAGACTGTTGTGTCTATTGTGTGTACCATCAACCAAACCAACCCAGCGCTGTCTATAGCCAAGCAGCAGCCAATATCACACAGCATCAGGCTGAGTTTGGTGATTGGTAGTCTGGATTCCAGCGGCCAGAATTGGCACAAAGTCAAGACCAGGTGATTGGTGGCTTGCATGTGTGGGTGGGGCCAACAGACTGACCAAAACAATTTGTAGTCCTCAGGGAGGTGTGCATTGTTCCTCATAAACATCAGCATCTGGTATTGTTGTCATTTTAATGTTTTGTTATTGTGTGATCTGTTAAAAATAAGTAAGTACTGACATTAAGAGGTCAGGCTGGAAAAATTGTTTAATAATTTGGAATATTAAAGCCTGTTTCAAAATATATTTACTGGCTCTGAGCACATTTACCTTGAAACATAATTTTAAAAAGGTAAACAATTTATACCAAACTATGTGGTTCACAAAACATCTCATGCACAAATAAAATGTGGATTTTATGTTTCCTAATTTGTTTACTTAAAGCACAAGAAAAAAAAGACATCTGAATGCAAAAAGCATGCATCTCTATGACATTTACATTTAATCATATTGTTATCCAAAACAACTTGAGGAAAAGCTAAAGCAATTTATCATACAAAAGCCAACAATATCAGCAGTTAAGAGCACAAAAGCTAGAGCAGAAATGCTCCTGCAAAAGGAAACTAATACAACTTAGATATATGAAACATGATATTCCAGTAGAAGACAAGAAAACAGATGCAAAGTGAAAATCTAAAGTCAGATCCAAAATAAAACTCATGCACCAAAAGTTTTGAGAGCAGTTCGTAGGCTGAACAGGTAGGAATGCCACAATTTGTAAAAAATTTGCGTGCTTATGTATAACGGCTCAAGAGTTTGTCAGTGCGGTTGCCCTGTGTGTGTGTTTGTGTGTGTATGTGTGTGCGTGTGTGTGTATGTGTGTGTGTGTGTGTGTGTGTGTGTGTGTATGGAGAAGCAGTATGTAGGACAGCGCCCCAGCGCTCCCGACTGGAGCTATGGGCGTGCTAAATTTCTGCATGCATGATCAATGGCTTTGAATAAAGAGAAAGAGGGAGAGGGGGAGGGGATATATATATACATTTGAAATGATATATAAAAATGGTATAGAGATCATTTTTACTAAGAATTTGCTAGTAAATTTCACAAAGAAATGGCAAGTAATACATTAAATTAAGTGTAACATTTTGAAGACTGAAATAGTGTTTTCTTAGAAAATGTCCTCCAATAATCTATGCTTTATTTACAACTTTGAAAAAACATTTTTTTACAAGCTATATTCAGTTCATATTGAGATCTCTGACCTGTAAATGCTTTATCAATATTGTAAATGTGTATAGTCATGCCAATAAACCTTAGCCTATTTACTCAGACAGCTAATCGCTTATCTGTTTGCATGGGTGATTGCAGTAGGCATAGTTATACAGCACAAAAGGTTCAATTTAGATCTAGATTACCTGTAAATCTTCTTACATTAAAGGGGTCATATGATGCTGCTAAAAAGAACATTATTTTGTGTATTTGGTGTAATGAAATGTGTTTATGCGGTTTAAGGTTCAAAAAACACATTATTTTCCACATACTGTACATTATTGTTTCTCCTCTATGTCCCGCCTTTCTGAAACGCGTCGATTTTTACAAAGCTCATCGGTCTGAAAAAGCGAGGTGTGCTCTGATTGGCCAGCTATCCAGTGCGTTGTGATTGGCCGAATTCCTCAAGCGTGTGACGGAAATGTTACGCCCCTCACCATACTGTGATGCCTGCGGCAACCACATGTGACGACCCCGGGCTGGACTCCGCTTTGTCCACGGTGAAAGCGATCCGGCGATCCACAGCGCGAAGTTGAAGTATTTCCTCAGCAGCCAGCACGGATCAGCTTCAGGCATGACGCAGCGGATATCGTCCTCTTTTGGAAGGCCAAACAAAGTAGTTTTGCTTTCACAACGAAGCACACAGCGCATTCACAACATGGTGGCAGCAACAATACTACAGCGAGAATAAAAGTTACGCCTTCTTTCTTTGCGTGAACATTTGGGCGGCGTTATGCAAATCTTCCCACATAGTGACGTAGACATGTGGGGGCGTGTTAGAACGAGACGTTTTAGGTAGGCGTGGTTGACTCTTAACTTTTATAAAGAATATCTCTTTGGATTTGAGACTTTAGTCTTTGCAACTTTACAGATCTTCTTTACTCACCAAGAGCTTGTAACACTCCAAAGAGAAAGGAAAAATTGAAATCGCATCATATGACCCCTTTAAGTTGCCAAGGAGTGAACTTGGGCAGATTCTGATTGGATAAGAACATCCGATGAGCCAATAAGGAAGTCAGACTGTTTCCATTCAGGAAGTAAGCACCTAAACACGATGTACACAGTCATCACACTTTTACCTCCAATACTGAACGTACTGTCCATCCTCAGGGGAAGGCGCAGCCAAAAGGAAGAGTGGTAAATAGAGGGAGAGACGGAGTGCAAATGAGCGCATCAAGGCAAATTGTACTGTCATCAAGATCGCATGAAACTCCCATGTGACATCCCTCCTATCCGGATTACCTGAGTCAGAGATCCACAGGCTGCAAGAATAGCCCGATCACCAGCCGAATATCTCTCTTAATCCTTTTTCCATGCTTTGTGGTTGTTAAAAACTGTAAACTTATTTTGGTTTGTAACCGGTGGCTTTTAGAGCTCATCTGGGTTTATATAAATATTGACAGGCTGACTCCTGTCTGGCGCCCGAACATTTTAATTTAGTTATTTAAATATTGATTTAAACTGCTTTCTGGGGCCCACCACCGTTACAGAAGTGGCGCCCGAACAGGGACTTGAACCCTGGACCCTCAGATGACTCTGACCCATTGTTATATTTAACACGCTGTCAGGACTTTTTGGCCTTGTACCCCTTGGATGAAATTGATGTTTTGGCCACCTTCCGCACTGTCCTGTATGGTACGGCACGTGATTGGTGGGAAGTTGCTCGATCTTCCATTAGTACCTGGAGTGAGTTTGAATCCGCTTTCCTCTCCGCCTTCCTTTCGGAAGATTATGAAGATGAGCTGGCAGAGCGAGTTAGGACTAAAACACAGGGAGAAAAAGAATCAATCAGAGACTTTGCCTTCACTTACAGAGCTTTATGTAAACGTTGGAAACCCACTCTAACTGAGAGCGAGTTAGTAAAAATGATCCTCAAGAACATCAAACCTTACCTCGCCAGCCAACTTCTCAGTCGTGTAAACACTGTGGATGAGGTAGTGAAACTAGGCTTTCAGTTGGAAAAAGACCATGCACAACAGTTACACTACGAAGGACGTATAACAACTCAACCCCCACCACCGCAAAGACTCGCCTCAAATCGACCTGCTGGAAAACCTCCAGTCCAGTGCTGGAGATGCAAAGGACACCATCCACCTGGAAACTGTCCCCTCTATTCCACTCTTCCGTCTACTCAACAGTCGTCCAGTCAGCATCCTTCTATGGGAAGTAAACATTCCTTCCACCCTCAGAAGTTAGGAGTTTCGCCTTCTAATAATGCCATGTCTGTCACAATTCCTTCAAAGCCAACCCCCAAGTCTGAAACATTCCCTGCCTCTAACAAATTTGTTTCCGTACCTCAACAGTTAGTTGTTCCCATTAATATTGGAGCCTGGAAAGGAAAGGCCGTTGTCGATACGGGAGCAAGTTATACCCTCCTTCACGAGAGCCTGTGGAAGGAACTCAGTCCCCATGACCACCTCCATCCCTGGTCCCTTGGTCCTCTTTATCTGGCCAATGGTGAGGCCGAAGTACCTTTAGGATGGACAAGTACACAGCTCATACTTCATGACCAAGTTTTCACTGTACGAGCTGTCATTCTCACCTCCAAAGCCCTGTCTTACTCTGTAGTCTTAGGCTTGGACTTCATCTTTTCCACTGGCCTGCAAATAAATGTAGCAGACAGGAAGTATTAATTTAAGGTAGCTCCCCACAAGGAGTATCCTTTTCAACCGGGCCAAGCTAGTGTTCCAGTTGTAAGACCCTCACAGCTGAACAGGAGACAACGCAAGAAAAATTCAAACCAGACCCTTTTGTTGTTCAGTTCTATTCCTCCACCACAATTTCCATTAGCATCGTCAGATATAATGGATTACCAAACATTGATAGCTGCAGCAGTATCAAGTGCCCACCTATCATCAGAAAGAAAACAGCAGTTATTGCACCTTCTCACATCAAATCCCAAGGTTTGTACTCACCAGCTTGGAAGGACTACTGTTCTTCAGCACGGTCTCTACACCACTCATCCTGTACCCATTAAACAACGTGCCTATCGCTTGACACCGGAAAAACAGGCTGTTGTGAAGGAACAGTTAAAGGAAATGTTGGAAAAGGGCATTGTGGAAACTTCACATTCTGCCTGGGCCTCACCTATTGTGTTAGTCCCCAAAAAAGATGGAAGCTTGAGATTTTGTGTAGATTACCGAAAAGTTAATGCGATCACAGAGAGAGATGCCTATCCGTTGCCGAACGTCACTGAAATCCTGGAGTCCCTCTCAGGTGCAGCCATATTTTCCACCATAGATTTAAATAGTGGCTATTGGCAGGTAACTATGAACCCAGAGAGCAAGTCTAGAACTGCCTTCATCACTTCCTCAGGCCTGTATGAATTTAATGTTATGCCCTTTGGGTTGAAATCCTTTTCAACCGGGCCAAGCTAGTGTTCCAGTTGTAAGACCCTCACAGCTGAACAGGAGACAACGCAAGAAAAATTCAAACCAGACCCTTTTGTTGTTCAGTTCTATTCCTCCACCACAATTTCCATTAGCATCGTCAGATATAATGGATTACCAAACATTGATAGCTGCAGCAGTATCAAGTGCCCACCTATCATCAGAAAGAAAACAGCAGTTATTGCACCTTCTCACATCAAATCCCAAGGTTTGTACTCACCAGCTTGGAAGGACTACTGTTCTTCAGCACTGTCTCTACACCACTCATCCTGTACCCATTAAACAACGTGCCTATCGCTTGACATCGGAAAAACAGGCTGTTGTGAAGGAACAGTTAAAGGAAATGTTGGAAAAGGGCATTGTGGAAACTTCACATTCTGCCTGGGCCTCACCTATTGTGTTAGTCCCCAAAAAAGATGGAAGCTTGAGATTTTGTG